TGAGTTAATTTTTGTATATGGTGTGAGGTCAGGGTCTAGCTTCATTCTTTTGATTGTGGATCTTTAATTGTCCCAGAACCATTTGTTGAAGAGACGGTTTTATTCTCCGTTGAATAGTCTTGGTACTCTTGTTGAAAATCAGTTGACCATAGATACATGGATTTATTTCTGGACTCAGTTCTATGTCACTGATCTAAACGTCTCTCCTTATACTGGTATCTCACTGTTTTGATTATGGTAGCTTAGTAGTAAGTTTTAAAATTAGAAAGTGTGAGTCTCCCAACTTTGTTCTTTTTTGATATTGTTTTGCCAATTTGGGTCCCCTTGCAGTTCACATGAATCTGAGGATTGGCTTTTCCATTTATGTGAAAAAGGCTCTTGGAAGTTTGATACGGATTGCATTTGAATCTGTAGGTCACTTTGGGTAGTGTTGCCATCTTAACAGTATTAAGTGTTCCAATCTGTGAACACAGAATATCTTTCCATTTAATTTCTTTCAGCAATGTTTTGTATTGTTCAGTATACACATCTTTTCACCTCCTTGGTTAAATTTATTTCTAGGTATTTTATTCTCTTGGATGCTATTATAAATGGAATTGTTTTCTTAATTTCCTTTTTGAATTTTCCATTGCTGGTATATGGAATTCATACTGATTTCTGCATGTTGATCTTGAACCTTGCAACTTTGCTGAGTTTTTTGGCTCTAGTAGTTTTGTTGTTGTTGTTTGTTTTTTTGGTAAGCGCTCTTTTGGGATTTTTAAAAATATATAGGATCATGTCATCTGTGCATGGAGATGGTTTTACTTCTTTTCCAGTTTGGACGCTTTTATTTCGTTTTCTTACCTAATTGCTTTGGCTAGAATTTCCAGTACAGTGTTGACTAGTGGTGTTGAATATTGGCATACTTGCCTTGTTCCTGATCTTAGGGGAAAAGCTTTCAATCTTTTACCATTCAGTGTGATGTTAGCTGGGGATTTTCATAAATGCTTTCAAGAAGTTCTGTTGTATTCCTTGTTTGAGTATTTTGATCATGAAAGAGTGTTGGGTTTTGTCAAATGCTTTTTCTGTGTCAATTGAGTTGGTTGTTTTTTTCCCTTCATGTCAATAATATGTCACATTGATTGATTGTTTTATGTTGTACTCCTGAGTTGAGTCCCACTTGGTCATGATGTATAATCTTTTCAGTATGCTGTTGGATTCGGTTTGCTAGTATTTTGTTGAGGATTTTTGCACCTATTGTTATAAGGGATATTGGTTTATAGATTTCTTTTATGGTGGTGTCTTTTGTCTGGCTTTGGTATCAGGATAATGCTGGCCTATAGAATGAGGAAGGAAATGTTCTCTACGTGTCTTTGATTCCCTCTCCCCCTTTGTTTTCTTTATGGATAGGTTTAAATTTTTTTGTGGGGGGAGAGAATTAATTATCCGGCTTCTCAAGGTTGTCATCCAAGACAAATACCCCAAAGTGGACTTATACAGAAAATTCTATGCCTGACGAAATTTAATCACAACATTTTATTGCTCAAACTCTACGTACTCATCTTAGAAACAAACCATATTATATTATAAAATCTCTGGAATCAGATGTTGTTATTTCAGTATGTATGTGTAGAAATTCTAAGAAAGCATTGAGTCCAAGGGTTATAATATTATGAGATTTTAGTTACTCATATGTATATAAACATTTCTTGGAGCAATTTTAGAAATATGATACCTCCTTGAAAGTATTTACAAGATATAAACTTTATTTTGGCTAGCCTGAACTACCACTTAAGAGAGAACTTGAACACAGGGACAGGTACCAAAGCAAATACTTTACTACAACATAAAGTGGGTTAGTGTTCAAATGTCTAAAATCTTAGACTTTCCTATGACTAAAATAGCTAATCAATAAATAATTTGCCAAATCTATATTCAGCTGTTTGCACAAAGTTCTTGATACTCCTTTATAAGGTATATAATTTGTAAATACAAAAGCTAATTATGATGCAATTTTACAAATGTACTTCTTGATTTTCTATCCATATGTGGCATAATAAATGCATTGCTATAATAAATAAACTTAGCAGATTTTTAAGAGTTTATTTCTTCTAGAATGTGCTTATTTTTAGAATGCCAGCAGATTATTCAGATATTTTTGTATATCATGATCAGTTCACAAAAGGTGCAGCCACAAATTATGTAATAAACCTATAGTTTTATAATTCTATTTAAATTTTTGTGTTTGGAGGATTCAGGCCCAACTAGATTTAAAGGGAAAAGTAATGTTTACAAAGAGTATTTTTAAGACCTTTTAATTTTGATTAAAAGTGATATACCGTTATGACCAAAACAGTTTTAGATTCTAAAGAATATCCAGTCTTCTGTGTTTATGGCAAAAAATAAATATTTATTGAATTAAGTGCATAGCAGTGGTATGTTTTATAGACCAAACATGGTACATGCAGCCTAGTTCTAAAATAGAACACAAAACATAAATACAATGAACAGAAATGTATTGTGTTGTAATCAATCCAAATAAATGTAATTAGAAAAGTTTTTTTTTGTCAGAGTCTTTAATCGATTTTGTTGGTGTTTAGCAGAGTGGGTGAAACTAAATAATCTTTTATAAATATAGTGGTTTTCTAGTGGCAAAATGCATTCCTATGTGTTTCACATTTAGGTCTCATGATGGAGTTATGAGGGAGGTATTACCTTATTTTACACTTGAGAAAACCGAATTGTACTGATTGACTTTTCCACTTCACAGTGAGCAAGTATTGGAAATTAAACCCAGGACTTTGGACTTTTAGCAACATCTTCTTTCTGTTACCAGATTTTTCTTTTCTGTAAGTTGCAGTTCAGGAGAAAGAAGGAATAGGAATAGTACCTGTTTTCCAAAAATGTGATACTATTCTTTTCCTACAGGTAACATATAGTTTATTTTATAAACATAATCATAACTTCAGAAAATAACAACAGTAGGACTCAGACTTTGTGCTGTATTACAGTGTGTTTGGATTTTCAAAAATAATGATTTCCACACAGCTTTTCAAGGATAGGTTGTTCATATGACTATCTCCTACGTAACACTGGAGGGGGGCGGTGTGCTGTAGTGCAGTGATTTTCAAACTTTAAAGGGTACGAGAATTACTTGAGAGTTTAATAGCTCTGTAGGGCTCACTGCTCTCCAGGTAATTCTGGTAGAGGTGGTCCAAGGACAGCACTTGGAGAAACACTGGTTTTAGAGTTTAACACACACAACAAGTATCTATTTGATAAGGTAATGGGGGTGATTTAATCTATGATATTGTTCTAGTTCTTGGAACAGAACCTGGTCCAACATAGTAGATGTCCAAAATATTCCATTCGTATGTGATGACTTGGGTGGCAACTGAGAAGCAGGAGAATATTCATTCTTTCATTCAAAATTTACTGAATTCCTGCACTATTCTAGCTGTTTGTGTATAAAGGGAAAATGGATACATTCCTCACTCTTGTTGAGTTTCTTTGATTAATAGACTCATTTTAAAGGTATGGTTCTTCCTTTGTAAAAACTTGTAAGATGAAATTATTAATATTGAAGACATGTTTTGTTTTGTTTTGTTTTTTGTGGTACACGGGCCTCTCACTGTTGTGGCCTCTCCCGTTGCGGAGCACAGGCTCCAGACGTGCAGGCCCAGCGGCCGTGGCTCACAGGTCCAGCCGCTCTGCGGCATGTGGGATCTTCGCAGACCGGGGCACGAACCTGTGTCCCCTGCATCGGCAGGCGGACTGTCAACCACTGCACCACCAGGGAAGCCCCCTGAGGACATGTTTGAATATTGAGGTCACTTTTTCTCTGTAAATTAAAAACTCATTTTTTTGAGGATTACAGGTTAAAGAAATGGCCTGAGTGTTAGTTCTTGTTTTATTGTTGCTCTAAAGCTATATTATCCAGTATAATGGCCACTAGATGTTTGCGGTTATTTAAGTCAGTTAAAATTAAGTAATATTGGGGATTTGGTGCCTCAGCTGCACTAGCCACATTTCAAGTCCCCAGTAGCCACGTGTGTGTTGTACTGGAGAGTGCAGATACAGAGCAGTCCCATCATCGTAGGAAGTTCTATTTGACAGTGTTACTCTAAGAATCTAGAACAAAGCAGTGATTTTTCCATTGCCTTGATCTGTAAGTGGATTTTTGAGGTAAATATTAGCAGTGGCCTGAGGCTGTCATTTCAACCCTTAAGTGCATTAGCACTTTTTCAGGTGGACAAGGCCCAGGGTTAGGATTGATTTACTAGAACAGTTTATTATACAGCAACTAAGATTTGAATGCTCATATCTGGGCATTTTTCTTAAACCTCCGAGTAAGACACTTAAGTTATTTTACTGCTTTAGGTATATAGCTTTTCTCATGGTGTGTGTGTGTGTGTGTGTGTGTGTGTGTGTGTGTGTATGTGTGTATTTACCTCCACAGCATTACAGTTGCTTAAATTTGTATCTAGTGAACTTTGCGGGGGGCAAAGAAAAGTTGCAATTACATCTTTATTACTAGAATTTTTGGTATTTACATGAAATAATTTATTCATAGATGCCAAATTTGAGCGTAGTGACAAGTTGGATTAACACTAGTCAGAATTTAACTAGGTCAAACCCCAGTTACGCTTATTATAAAATATTAATTACGGTAATGTAGTATTTTGATAATTTAAAAACTAAACATTTTACGTTTTTTTGTTGAACTTATGTAAAATCCTGTAGCACCTGCTGCATTCTGATGTCTAGACATTTTTCTATGCAGGGTTCAAGAAACAGTCTGCAAGCGTAACCCACTTTTCGCCTCTATTTCCTGAATGAGTATCTAGATAGAGATAGGTCTTGCCTCCTTTTTTTTTTTTTTTCCCCCTTCGGCTTTTGCTGTGGTCCCTTTCTGAGAAGAGAAGCAATAGGAGACGGTCACTTGGTCCCAGGTCATGGATTAGAGCAATTAAATCCTTTTGTACATTTCTGCTTCCTTCAGTGATTCTCCCTCTTTCCAGATCACTTACTTCAGCCTCTGGTACTACAACAAGCAAAACCAGCGCCGGTGGGTAGATTTGGAAAAACCTCTAAAGAAGCAGCTGGATAAACATGCGTTGGAACCTACCGTCTATTTTGGAGTGGTGTTTTATGTGCCTTCAGTTTCACAGCTGCAGCAGGAGATTACCAGGTAAGAAATAATGTGCTGTTTGTTTCTAGGAAATCCAGTGAAATTAAAAAGGTGAAATTAAGGTTGGAGTCAGGAGATAAGGCTAAACTTTGCCCTCTCGCCCCCTGCAGTTTTAGCCTCAGTATTACGTGGAGGTGCTGGTACGTGGTGTGTCACAGTGCTTTACTGCATGTTGCGTGAGTTATGGGTTCACTGGGCATGAAGGAATGATTCAAAGGAAAAATGATGTTTTTACCCTGGCTGTGAACTCTTCTTGTAGTGATGTCACCTTTAATGTTTTTGTTGAGTTTTTTCTGACCTTTGTAACAATGAAATGAGAGAGGAGATTTAAAAAAAATTGTCACAAAATCTGCGTTTACTCCTCAAGGAAATGTGTAGAAGGGTCCTTCTAATTCTGACACCAGTAGCCATAGTATTCTGTACATAGGTGTGGGGCAAAGGGGAGGTGGGGGAGGTGTTTGAGATCAGAAAAGTTTGGCCAGTAAGTGCACTTAAAAGGGACAAAGGCAGCAAGGGTAGAATGTATTCAGGAGTGGGATAGAGGAACTAAATGTTCTTTTTTTTCTTGGCAATAACAAAAGAAAAAACAAGGGATCAAATTTGGATTCTTTTTTTTTAATTGAAGTACAGTTGATTTACAAGGTTGTGCTAATTACTGCTGTACAGCAAAGTAATTCAGTTATATATACATATATATATATACACATTGTTTTTTTAATATTCTTTTCCGTTATGGTTTATCATAGGATATTGAATATAGTTTTCTGTGCTATACAGTAGGACCTTTTTGTTTATACCAAATTTGGATTCTTGAGCCTGCCTTTCACATTCTTCAAAATCCACCACTACCTTATCTTTTTAACCCCATTTAACATTACTTTCGAGCCAAGCTGGACTACTTCTAGTGTGCTGAACATGCTGCATGCCTTTTCACCTTTGTGTCAAAGACCTTTCTTTCATAAATATGTACTGGAATCCTGTTCATCTGATTTTAGTTCAAAAGGCACCTCCTCCATAAAGCTTCTGTGGTCCCTCAGGGTGGAATGAGTTTTGCCTCCTCCAGACTATTCTAGAATTTGCTTGTACTTACGATGGCAGTTGTCACAGCCTTTCACTACAGTTATTTGTGTATGTATCTTTTCCTTAGATTTTAAACCCCTGTTTTCTTTAACTTTGCCTTTCGCGTAATATCTAACACAATGCCTTGCAGATGGTAAGAACCTGGTACTGCCCTGTGTTTGTGGAATATTCTTTTTAAGTACTGAGTTCAGAGTTAATTTTCGGAAGAAGGTGGATAACCAAAGAAGCTAGAAACAGGTTGTAGGGATAAGCATGAACTGGCTATAAAACAGATCTGAGACATAAATATTGAAGAGAGAAGTAGAAGCCAGGAGGAATAAACAGTGACTGACCACTTTGACTCATTTATTTAAACATTTATTGAAGATATAATATGGTATGTGAGAATTATATTGGTTACTGTGGGAGATGAATATATAAATGGATATGCTTTACTCTTACTCTGGAGGAGTTGCTCACAATCTGGTAGAACTGACAGTCTATGTAAATGAACGATTAACAGTATATTATGATAATACATGCTTTAATTAAAGCACTGGATTCCTAGGGGTGGGATGTGGGGAACATGCCCAGGGTGTAAAGAAGTTGACTTTTCACTTGACTTTACAAGTAATTTTCTAGTTAGAGGGAGTAGCTTGTGCAAAGTAGGGGGATAGTAAAAGCAACTGATGTTTTCAGGAAATTTCAGACATTACTTCGAGGGGAGAACGGAGACTTGAAAAAAGGAATGTCCTAGTCATAAAGTCATAGATCAACAGGGGCAGACATTTCTGAATTTTAATGGATGGGAATGATGAAATGTGCATTTTACAAAGCACCCATCATGGAAGGTAGATTATAGGTGACAAGACTATAGGCAGGAGACCAGTTAGGAATGTATATGCCATAATCTAGGCATTAGTCTAGAGGGTGGACCTGCTTTCCAGTGATTTGATTTAAGGAAAGAACCAAGAATATTTAGAGTGGAATATGTGGACAGCATATTGAATAGATAGACTTCTTTAGGTATTTGAAAGGAGCTGCCTGGGAGAATGTTTCAAGGTTTCTTCTTTGACAAGATCTCAGAGCTACCAGCATTCTATTTGCTGATTGAGGGAAGTCTATGGGTTCTACTAGCAGGTGGAAGGGGATAAGTGGGATCTAAATCCTTGTTTAAAAGGATGGTGTTCTGGTCAAGCTTTTTGGTAACAAAGAATGGAAACCTCAAAGGTAGCTAAAATAGGATGATGTAAGGACATATGAAATGATTAAAAGGGTGGGCTCTCAGGGGAATTCAAATGTGAACTATAACTGGGTTGAACTACACAGATGTCAAACCTGGAAGAGATTCTGGATTCAAGATGGTTCTATAGACCGTATTGGCAGAGAGTTGCTGGATCTTCGTTCAACACCGTATCCCCAGCATCTAGAACAATGCTTGATGCATAGTAGGCCCTAGTAATTACCTAAGTGAAAAAATAAGAGGAAGGCAGAATAAATCTTCACTATAGAGCTTATCTAAATGGAGAAGTGATACAGATGAAACACTGCTGACTGGCTGAAAGTAGATGATTGCTGATAATAATAACAGCTGTTTTTTAAGTACCAGCTATGTTCTAGTATTATGCCGAGAGCTTTACATATATTCCTTGATATGTTCAGCCTTGTGAAGGGGTGACAGTGCCCTCATTTTACTAGAGATAACTTAAACCCACAGATTATGACTTGCCCAAGTTCATGCAAAATGCTAAATCAGAGATCTGGAATTTAACCTAGGTCTGCTTGACTAAAGCTTGTGCTGGTAACTAATACCCTATATATTGACAACATAAACAGAAGTAAACCCACATCCCAAGAATATTAAGAAAGCATTTTAGAAACTATTCTTTTTGGTATTTCATCAAAGAATATTTTAATATAAGGCTGGTCTGAAATGTCCAGAACCATTTTTTTTCTGGCTTTACTCTCCAGGGCTAGGAAAGTCTTACATCACCAAGTTACGAGTCAGTTTCTAAAGTAAAAATTGGCCATTGATTCTCTATGTCTCCAACGAAAAGGGACAAAACTTAGAGACTTTTACAGGGTATAAGACAGATGACCAGCTGTCTTCTCGATGGTTGTAGCTTTCAAATAACTACAATTAAGGATAAGTGACTCAATAAATTGATTATATTGTGTGTGTGTGTGTGTGTGTGTGTGTGTGTCGGTATAGATATGGTCAAGGATGTTCCTGTCGTTCTTCGGAATCGTCTGAGCTTAAGGTTTTGGCTAGTTTATGCTCCTCTACCAAATTATGATAAAATGCATTGTGTCTCAAGTGGAGGTAATACTGATATTGACTTTTAAAAATTGACCTTTTTTTTATAGGTATCAGTATTATCTGCAGCTGAAGAAAGATATCTTGGAAGGAAACATTCCTTGTACATTAGAACAAGCAATTCAGCTAGCAGGCTTAGCTGTTCAAGGTAAATAATGGCACTTGATCATATAATGGATCTATCAGATTAAAATGTACATTAAACAGAAACAGCAAGGGATTCTTAAAGTAACTGACTTTATAGAAAATAACTACTATAAAGTAGTTTTTTATATTAGTGAAATATTCTGTTATCTAAGGGGCTTCCTTGTGGGGAAAAAAATGAGTTTGGATTACTTCAGTGAAATACGAGACTTCTGGAAGGTTAAGCATGTTATGTCAACAGAGCACACAGACCAAAAGTAGAGAGGAAATACACACATATGCACACACACGTATAGCATTTAATATGCTGTGTATTCCTCTAGTTCAGGAACTTGATCTGCTGCTAGCTAATGTTTTCAGAAGAAAGATCAGCCAAACAATGTGGTTGATGAGGTTATGTTCGCTTATACTTTAAGCGTACGTCATTTGTTTGGTTTCTCAGTTGTCCTAGGTTATAGAACATCGTCAATCATAATAGATAGTTCTGCATTTCACAAGTATTTTTGAATTAACTGTCATTTTTCACATGTCTAATCTGTATGTATTTACATGTATGTAATATACTTTGGAAAGACTTCTGATGGGGCATTATTTCAAATGATAACTGGCATTTAATCTTGGGAATTGAAATTTAATCAGAAGAATCATTAATAAAGTTCCATCAGATATTAGCAGGCATGGAGACATATATCATTTCTAGACAAATAAATGCCTGATACACATGGAGCCACAGTCCTTTTCAAGGTACTTTGAAGCTTCCTAAGTGTCGTCTTTGGCTTTAAGAGTTAGTTTTTCCTAAGCTTTTTGCTGAACTATCAATGTTTTGAACAATTAAAAATTTCTAAACAAATACATCTTGCTGTAACATATTCAGATGATCTAGTTCCTTTCCCTAGAAATAATCACTACCATGAATGGTTTGGTTTCTTCCTGACATTTTTCTATGCATAAGTTAAGCATACAGGATTACAAAGTAGGTTTTGTTTTTTTTTTAATGACAAAAAAAGAGATGGTTTACATATAGTTTGTAACTTGGTTTTTCTCACTTTATTAAAAGGCATTTTTTCCAAGTCAAGACACATGAATCTACCTAATTAATGTTTTTAAAAAGGTATTTTTAAAGTATACACTTTATAAGCTGTAAGGCAAATTTGACTTCTAAATCATAAGCACACCATCTTTATACTGCATATTGAATTTAGTTCTGCATGTTTTGCTTCCAGTTAAGCATAATTGACATGTGAATATTTGTCATTTTATATAGCTGATTTTGGTGACTTTGATCAGTATGAATCCCAGGACTTTCTTCAGAAATTTGCCTTGCTTCCTGTGGTAAGAATTCTTTTGACACTGGGCCTTTTTAAAAACAATTTATTTCCATACCCTTAATATTCCCTGAAATGAAGTCCATATAGTAGACTTACTAGGCGGGAATAGAGTTTAAAAAAAATCAATTTCCTCTTATAAACAGCTCAAGTGTAAATGCTTTGCCTGTTATAGTCTTCTGGTCCTTGTAAACCCACAGAAACAGAAGGGTCTGTGGTCATTGGACTGCAGGCAGAGAAATTCATTTTGTGTTTGGCTGTGAGTCTAAAGAGAGGGACGGATTTCCAACTTCTGTGGAACCACATAGAGGTTTTGCTTTTAACTGAAGGTTCAAAACCTGACAGAGTTATGTTGAAATGGATTTGGTTTCTCATCAGCAAATTAAAGAGTAGATGACAAAATGACACTGCCTTCTACAGTTTAAAGTCACTACTGATGGAACTGACAGGGAAACTGTGTGTTGGAACAACTACGGGAGGTGGTACGCTCTTCCGAGTGTCTACACAACCAGCCAGGGAATGCACAAGGTGTTATGTGCTGGGCTTGGAACTGGCTGATGACGTTACCAAACTGAAATAACTCATGTGAAACTTTCTCTGGGATGAATTGAGAAGGCAGGGCAAGTGTTTTGGCTCCTGAGCAGAAGCCACGTAATTCCTTAGAAAGATCATGATTATGTCCTTAAGCAAAGCTCGCACACATTAACACTAGCCCTAGTTTTGCCTGCTGGTGGCAAGAGTCAGTAATAATTCCTTCTAAGAAATTTGGGTGATTTGTTTACATACTTACTGCAGTATGTTTTTTCCAGGAGTGGTTACAAGATGAAAAAGTATTGGAAGAAGCAACCCAAAAAGTGGCCTTACTGCATCAGAAATACAGGTAACGCTGAGAAGTGGAAATAGGTTAGAACTAATGCCTGTTTGAATTTGAACCATGCATCGACACCATTAAATTTGGAACTTTACTACTGCTGCTGCTACTACTGCTAGTTACCAGGAGCCAACCTTTGCAGAGCTCTCACAGCGTGCCAAGTGTTCTTATGAGCACTTACCCGTATTAACTCATTTATTATTCATTTTTTATCATTGATGAAACTGAGGAAGTGGAAAGCTGCAGTCACTGAAGGATGACAGCTCTTAATCCCATGTCTTAAAGGTTTTGGTGGTGACTCGGTCCTGTGTAGGTTAATGCAACATTAGGGAGACATGTTTTCTTTTGTGATGTGGCAGATGTGATGTTTTCTTTTGTGTCCGCCCCCCTAGTCCCCCCGCCCCTTACACCTTTGGAAGCTGTGTTTCTGTCCTCTGGGGGAGCTCTGCTGAGAGCTGTGGTGCTTATTGCCCTGACCCCTGCTTCTGGGCAGAAAGTGACTTTCTTTGAGAGTGAATCTGTATGTGTTGTCCAAAAAGCCTGTCCTAGAGAATGCTAGGTTTTATTCTAAACCAAATACCACGCAGTTCCAAGTACTTTATATATCATTAAATTCTTATAACCATTCTTTAAGGTAAATGTTACTATCTCCTTACAGATTGGGAAAATCAAGCTCACAAAGACTAAATAACTTGCCCAAAGTTACATGTGGTAGAGGTGGGATTTGAACCCAGGTCTGTCTAATTATAACATTATTCACCCCCTCCCATTAAAAATAACCTTTTGCCTTTAATCTGTTTCCACTCAAATCCATACAGTCACTCACAAAAGATTAATCTTCCTAAAGTATCACTTTTGACTTGTCTCCCCTCTTCTCCTCAAATGTTCATGAATCTCTTCTTGCTTTCCCCCAGCCTAAGTTCATTACTCCTGGGATTAGAGGCTTCCCACAAGTTGGTTAAATCCTGCCATTCCAGCTTTACCTTCTGCTGTCCAAATGAACCTTTTTTTTTCAGCATAATTAACCCCTCAGGCACACATCACTCTATCTTTTGTTATTTTCACTCATTCATTTGTGCATCTCCTTAAAAGATAGTTTAGTGCTGTTATTCTGTATGAGGCAGAGTGCTCAATGCTGTGGCACAAAGATAAATAGAACAATGATCTGCCATCAAAGAATGTATTCCCTGCTTTGGCATCTTAAGGGATAGGCAGGACAGCCCATGGTAATAGTAATAGTAATACTGATAATGGGTACGGGGGAGAGAGGTGTGCACAGAATGTGGTGGTCCTACACAGAGCAAGGGCATCTGACTTAGACTCAGGGCAGTCACAGAAGGTGACAAAGAAGGAGTGACATGTAGGCTGAGTCTTGAAGGGTATTAGGGATTGACCAGGTACACAAGTGGGTGATAGGTATACCAGGAAGCGGGATTAGCATGTACAAAGGCCCGGAGGCATGAGGGAATGTGGTATATTCAAAGAAATGCTGCGTTTGGGATGGTCGCAGTGTGGGGTGCCTTGTGGGTGTGGGAGAGCAGCAGAAGATGAGGCTGGAGAGGCACCTGTCCGTGCAGTTGAGTGCCTTCCTACCTACACACGCATTCTTGTAATTCTGTCACCGGAGCTGAAAAGGATTTCCATCTTCTAACCCTTATTGCAGCACTTACCGTTTGCAGTGTAGCACACAGTGCCTAGTATTGCCTGATACTTTGGTGGTTTAGAAAGAATTCTAGCTTTCACTGAAGATTTTTTTAGGGGGTGGTTTTATTTCCTGCCTTTCCCCTTACCTGCCTAAAGTACAAGGGGTAGGATCTTACATAACTAACCCTCAGCATTCAGCACAGTGCTTCTGCGTGCAGTTGGTTTTCAGTAAATACTGATGCATTGATATAACTAATCACAGATGCTTAGAAACTTGAAATGTTTCTACTGTTTTATGACAAATTGATATGTAGTTTTTTTACAAAAGCTTTTCGTAAAAAATTTTTTTAGTTTTGTGAACAATCTGACTAACTTCTTGTGGGTTGCAGAGGGCTGACAGCTCCTGATGCTGAAATGCTATACATGCAGGAGATAGAGAGAATGGACGGCTATGGAGAAGAGAGCTACCCTGCCAAGGTAAGCGTGGCACGAAGACTGGGCTTGCCAAAGGCATCTTAGTAATTCTGCCAGAAGAGCGGGGAAGCCCAGGGTTGCCCTGCTGTGCAAAGGCCAAAGAAACGTAAAAGCTGAGGTCCTTGTGACCAAAATTTTGTAGTAAAACACATTCCTGTTTTGTGCTTTGTTCTTGGAAGTGCTCTTGAAATAGAGTTCCTTAAGGAGCCCAACTGTTTTCATATGTATTTACAAGATGGTACATTTATACCTTGTAGACTTTTTGCCTTCAGCGTAGGTCTTCTGAACATTTCCTATCTGGGACACAAGAGTAGGGAGGTAGGTGTGGTCATTGTGGTTCTTATGCATCTGCTGCCCGAGTTTCCTTTTCCGCTTTCTCCTCTTAGGATAGCCAAGGCAGCGACATATCCATCGGAGCGTGTCTCGAAGGTATCTTTGTGAAACATAAGAATGGAAGGCCTCCTGTGATATTTAGGTATTTTTCTTACATCTTTCTGTGCACTTTCTGTGGCTCCTGTTGGTGATATTTTTTAGTACCTGTGCTAGTTATATCACTCACAAGTAAATCTCTCCCAAGGCCTCACTAGAAAATGGAAATATGCCCTCCCTAGAATAAAATAGCACCTGACTGCAATGGTTCTTTTTATAAGATACTTTCTTCAAACCAAATTGTAGAAAATAGTGCTTGTAACGATGGCCTGCTTATGAAATGCTTAAAAATGTGTGACCCTTTTCTTATCATATGAAGGTCATTCTTTGTCTTGGTGTGAATTTTTCATTTGAGCTCTGGTTTCCAGGGCTATTTCTTGTGGAAACTCTAGGCCTTTCTCTGATTCTAGTTTGTACCAAAATTCCTAAAATACCAAAATCTAAAAAAATTTCAATTACTTCTTATAATGTTGATTTTTCTTTTCTTGATTATAAAAAAGTGATACTATCCATTTGTGGAAATCTTGGAATGTATCTAGTAAGAAGGACAGAAAGGATATATAGCAATGTGCTAACAGTGGCTGGCTCTGAACAATGAGATTTCAGGTGATTTAAATTTCCTTTTCAGTATCCTTTGACCCTTCATTTCCTTTGCTTTACTATCTTTTGGGCCCTGAATCCTCCATGGTGATTAGGACCACAGAGCGTGTACCCGGCTTGGGGAGTAGATCTCCACTCCTAGGCTGTACTGCACTGGGTCAGGTGGCTCCCGTTTGGCGATTGCTCTCATGTCCCCAAGCTGCTCATCGTCTTCCGGACATGCTGAGCTGCAGGGTAGGGGGTGGAAATGGATCTGGCCTGCACCGGAAGGGCAGGGCCCTGACATTGGGAGACATCCCACTGGCTTCCTTTATCTCACTGGATAGGAAATTCTAAAATTGCCTTCTTTAATATGATGCTAATAATCTTTAGGTTTAACAGTTAAGCACCAAATTACTACAAATGAATTTTATTTTAAATTTAAATAAATCTAATATAATGGAGAAGGATAAAGAGGGATAGATTTTGTTCTTCCAGACCTACTTTTCCCTTTTATAAAATTATACAGTTACATAATAAAATGGAATATTAATATATAAAGTCTGAACGTGGTAAAATAGAGTTGAAAGTTCCAAATCGGAGTTTGAATCCTGGTGAACACACCCAGAATACTTCACTCTTTGGATTGGAACTTTATCTTCACCCTGCTCCACCAGCTTTTCAGAGCAGCTCTCCTCTAGTTTTGTGCCTTATTTTGCCCTGTATACCTGCAGAACTTAACAGTATTTGTCTGCTTCTGTGTTCTCTATCAGCCCTACCCTCCATCTGTGCCCCTTTGAGGGAAGCACTGTCCCTTACTGATCTTAGTATCCTAGGACCTAACACAATTTCTGGTGTTATCATAGTGGGTGTCCTTTAAAATGTTTGTTGAATGAGTGAAGGAGGCATTGGCAACCAGCTGAGAGTGGGATATTTGATCAAATTAGTGCCGCCAATCAGGATAAATAGATTTTACATTTTTAAGTACTCTGCCTTCATTTTAGTATACATGCTTTTACTTCTTGCCACTAGCTGTTGTCACTTCAATTAGAAAATGCACGCGAGCTGATTAAAACCACTGTTTTCTTTCTAAAATGATAAACAAATAGTAGCTTATATATTAAGCTCAAAAAGGAAAAACTCATATATTCTCTTAGTAAAAAACCTGAGCACTCACATTGCCATTTGCTGTTTGTTGTTCTTTAGGTGGCATGATATTGCTAACATGTCCCACAATAAGTCCTTTTTTGCATTAGAGCTGTCAAATAAAGAGGAGACCATCCAGTTTCAGACTGTGAGTAAACATTAGGAATCTGTATGTAATGTTTTTCCTGAAAATTAACACTTCTGTGTGTATGTGTTTGGGGGGCGGTAGGATTAAAATTATATAGTATTTCATAGTTTTATGAAACATAAAATTTTATAATACTTTATAACGTTTTATATAGCAGTACTTAGCAAAAATCAGTTGCTCAGTAAATACTATTGAATGAATGAATGAGTCTTTGGATAAATACTATCTGATCATGATCTCTAAATTAAATTTAAGGGACTATTAAGTATGGGAGAGAGTAAACACTGGTATCTTAACTTCCACTGATAAGTGAACAGCTCTTTAGAAATACCATTTCACAGTTACTTTTACTCTCTTGACAAAAGCAATAAGTCACTGAGTCATTTTGTTTAAAAATGTCTTTGAGTACCTAGTTGTCAGTAGTAGAAGTGGACATTTTCATAATTTTAAAATTTCTAAGTCATTTTGAAACTGTTTAATGTGAGAATCACACTGTTGAGCAGGCTTTTGTTTGTCTTCATAATCTGAGTCCTAATTACAACATTCATATGAGGGGTGCAATTTTAGAAAATGAGAGAACCCCAGCGTGTGGAAAGTGACTTTGAAATAATATGTCACCCAGTTCTGTCTTGTTCTCAGATAAGCTCTGTATCAAGTTGTAGATGTGCTTTTGTTTACTTTGTGCATACTTTGTTTGCTAGGAAGACATGGAAACAGCAAAATACGTGTGGAGACTCTGTGTTGCGCGACACAAGTTTTACAGATTGAATCAGTGCAGCCTGTAAGTATACCCTGCTCACAGAAACTGTGGGAGGTGATAAGCTTAGAAGTTTTCATCTCGAACTATAGTATATCGTCTAGAAAGGCAAATTTAAAAAAGGAAAAGATAACATTTTTATAATAATCTCTTTACTTTTGGATGTCAAAATTTTATTTCTCAGTTTTAGCTTTGGACCAACCTCTAATAACTACAGATATGCCTCTAAGATTTCTTTCAGCTAGTAACTAGAATTATTCTAATTCACGAAAGCTAAAATGGAATTTTTTTTTTAATCAACATTTTGAGTAAAAAAAAGGTTATTCAGCTTTTCAAGCCTTTTGAAGAATTTATACCCCTTCTTCCTAAATGTACGTTTTCCTTAGCCCACATGGGTTTCCCCCTTCTGCTGGATCATTCCCATCAGGATACAAACATGCTGTAATATTTTACCTCTTAAAATTTTTCCTTCGTTCCACATGCCCTCTAGCCACGGTGCCGTATCTCTCTTCTCTTCTACAGCTGATTTCTTCAAAAGAGTTGTATAATCTTGCTCTCTCGCCTTCCTTCCAGCCCATTTCCCCTAAGCTGCCACGCCACTGATGCTGCTTGTCAGAGTGACGTGACTTTCACCCAGTGGTCATTTCAGGAGTTCTTTCACTTGACTCCTGGGCAGCACCGAATCTCTTCTCATCCCTTCCCCCCTGCACCCTGCTCTTCCTTGGCTGCCAGGACCCCACCTTCTCCTGCTTTTTCTCTTTCTAAGCCTATTTCTTCTCAGTCAGCTTTGCTGGTTTAATCCTCGGACCTCTTCTCATCTACACTTTGTTCTCTAGGGGATTTGGCTTGACCCAAGCTTCAAAGCAGCATCTGTATACTAAAGTGCAGCCGACTTCATTTCTAGTCCTGTCTTCCCCCTGAGCACTTGACTTGCACACCCTACTGACATCTCTACTTGGGTGCCTAACAGGCTTCTCCAATTTGATATGCCTAAAACCAAACTCTTGATGTGCTCCTCTTCCTGCCCCAGAGTCTGCTTCTTCCTGCCCCAGAGTCTGCTTCTGTCTCCCATTTCGACAGATGGAGGCACACCACAGTCACTCAGGCCCCAAACCTAGAAGTCCTACTTAATTCCTGTTGCTCTTTCATCCCACATCCAATTCGTCAGACGTTCGCTCTGCAAATTCTGCCTTCAAAACATATCTAAATCTGACCATTTATATAACTCTTTCAGCTGATGACTTAGTGCTGGCTGCCATAGTTCTCATCTGGAATACTGCTGAAGCCGCCTTTTTTTTTTTTATGTCTGCGTTGGGTCTTCGTTGCTGCGCACGGGCTTTCTCTAGTTTTGGAGAGTGGGGGCTGCTCTTCGTTGCAGTGCATGGCTTCTTATTGTGGTGGCTTCTCTTGTTGCAGAGCATGGGCTCTAGGCACGCAGGCTTCAGTAGTTATGGCACGCAGGCTCAGCAGTTGTGGCTCACAAGCTTAGTTGCTCCGCGGCATGTGGGATCTTCCTGGACCAGGGCTCGAACCCGTGTCCCCTGCATTGGCAGGCGGATTCTTAACCACTGCACCACCAGGGAAGTCCAATAACTTTAATTTTTATGGTCATTTCTTTTAAGGCTCTCAATCCAGACTGTGCTTAGTCACATTTAAAGTGATAATGATTCTGAAGTATTGATAGACTCGTTCTCATGGTCCAGATGGGCATTTAACGAAACCGCAGCAGGCCTGGAACTGGGCAGTGAGTTCTGGACATCAGGTTCAGGCTGGGGTGACCAGTGGCTCAGGAGATGGACTCTGCATGCGTAGAAAGGAAGGCCTTTGCTCCTAAGTGTCCCCTTCCCCGCTCCTCAGTCCCGATACATTGTCTAATGGTGTTTGGGGTGGCCTCATGTGAGTCCTCTAACCTTGACCTAGATGACTCTATTTTAGAATTTATAGAATGGCGTGATCCATCTTCAGTCTTGCTCTCTCTCTCCACTTTCAAAGTACATTAGGTAACAGAATCATCTTTTTTATGTCACCCAAGCCTTAAAAATGTTAGATAACAACGATCTCTTTGCTTTTTAATTTATAAAATGGGGATAATGGGGGCTTTTACTTAACATTTCTTTAGGGTTGGAATAGGAATTAAATGAGGTAATGTCAATCTCTCAGGTGAAATGACCTCTCTCGCCCTCTTCCCCACCCGAAGCCCCAGAACTGGTCATGCTATAATCGACCTCCTGAATTTATATGAGAAGAGCCTGGAAGGGAAGAGGACTCTTGAGAGGGGTCTTGGTATGGGAGGCTTTTCCCTCTCCTCTCTGGGGGGAGCGGGGGAAGGGGAGGTTGGTATCCCCCAACCTGCAAAGCCAAGTGGTAGAAGTTTCCACAGACTTTCTCTAGAGGGGGAAGTTGGATTTCTGTCACCAGTGGGCTGCTTGCTGAGCCTTGTCAGAGGGTTGGTCTGTGTTCCCTGCGGTTTAGGTGTAAACTGACTATGGGTGAATACGGCAGCTGGTCTCTGTTCTGGAGACTTCTGTGATCAGGAGATTGACGGGAGTAGGCCCTCCTGGAAGGGGATGGGGTTGCCCCACTTCTTCGAGGCCTACTGCAGGGTTTGAAGAGACTGCGAGAGGCTTGGCAAAAGAGAGTGACCCCTATCCCGTTAAAGGAAGGTCATTAAGATCAACATTTCCTAGGTATTTCCACCATCCAACGTATTTTTTGTTCATCCAAAGCACACTCCTCTGCACTAGCTAGAAATATATAAGAAAGGAAGCTCACAAAGCAAAAGTCGGACGACTCTTAGCAATTCACAGCCTTTACAGCTCAACTGGGAATGCTTAGCCATGAGCATCAACTTCAGTCCTCATTCCCTATTTCATTCATTTATTCAGCAAACATTTGGCACCTTCCTTGTGTGCCAGGCACCGGTGGTACCATGGTGTGTCGTCTACCTCCATGGAGCCTACGAATCTGTTGAGGTTGGGAGGGGGTGAGACAGATAGTCAGCTGTTAGGGGCCTGTGCTCAGGAGTCCGACAGACCTGCCTGGTTCAAGTGCCAGTTCTGCTTATTTGCCACATGGCCAGGAGCAATTTAATCTAAGGATCAGTTTCGTCATCTGTAAAATCAGGATAACTGGCCTCGTTTATGGGGTTGGTGTTAGGATCCCATGAGGCGATCAGGTATAGCCTTCAGCACTGTTTTCAGTAAGTAATATCATTTGTTTTACTTGGGCTAGCAGCCTTTTCTTATTTTGTCATCTCCAGTACACGCATTCCAGTGGTTTTCTTTTTTTTTTTTCCTAAGTTCTTCAGCTGCCTCAGTGTTAGCAGCACCCATCAGCATAGTAACTGCCCCAAAACACAACCAACAGTTACCCATTTTCTCTTGTGTACTAAGTTTAGGATAGCTGATCTCAGAGCAAACTGCCTTTATAAGAATATTGGCAGGAAGAAAGAGAAGGTTAGAATATTAGAACTGATGGTGTGGCTGCCTGCGTCACAGTTTGGCAGGCGGAAGACGTAGTAGTTTGTGTTCAGCAGAAGTGGCCTCTCCAGGGGGCAGTATTGCTTCCGTCCTGGGTGCCGCCAGCAAGGTGCCAAAAGAGATCCCGAGTGTGGGAGTTGCCACCTGTGCTGCTAAGCTGTGCACCCTTGGATTTTGGGTTTAACACGCTTAAGTTTATTCTTGTTTCCGCTGGGCAATCCTGGACATGGTGTTGGAGGTTTCTATCAGCAACCTTTCTCCCCATCTCTGAATTTTGAATTTATAGTACTTTAAAAGTTTGGTCAGTTTACTGAGTCTCTGGACTAAATATAAACTTCAAAGGACCCAGTTGGCCTAAACAATGGAGAATAAAGGGAAAGAAAATTTCAAGGCTACAAAATGCAGTGTCTTCAGATTCTGGACACGAATTTTAAGAATGTATTAATGTGCAGTTAAGGAGTGCTTAAGAAAAAAAAAAAAAAGGCCCAGACACACCCTTCTGACTTGTTCCACTAAGGAGGCCTCCTCCTTTACTAATATATAATGCTTTACCAATTGATGCAGGTATTTTTGCAGTCTAATGGAATTAACATACATTTTATTATTGTTAAGTAATAATTACTGGCAGAATGGGGAACATCCTTTGGGAAAGAGACATCTATTCTTTTTTTTTTTTGAGACATCTATTCTTCATCAACAATCTTAATACCTTCCAGCGATAATAAAAGGATATTATTAAAGAAAGCATTTAATCAAAAAAAGTCAACTCTTAAAAGCAACTGTAGCTACTTGATAAGCTCCTAATAATCAGTAAAATATTTTTAATCTCAAAAATCTTGTAAAAGTTAGCTAATATTTAGGGTTTGAATATAGGAAATCAGTTGTTAGAGTGCTAAGAATAATGTTAATTTATGAGACATGAGGCTTGATATTATGGTAAATTTACTGATTAAATGGAGCTAGTGTTTACTTTGTGGATTTTCTAGCAATTAGTCCTTAGAACACTATAACCAAGGGTCACAAAATTTTTTTTTTTTTTTTTTTTTGCGGTACACGGGCCTCTCACTGCTGTGGCCTCTCCCGTTGCGGAGCACAGGCTCCGGACGCGCAGGCTCACCAGCCATGGCTCACGGGCCCAGCCGCTCCGCAGCATGTGGGATCTTCCCGGACCGGGGCACGAACCTGTGTCCCCTGCATCGGCAGGCGGATTTTCAACCACAAAATATTTTTGTAACTAGTAATTATGTGTCACATGCTCATGAGCTAGGAACAAATGGTCAAAGTTTTTCAAAAAGTGCTTTGACAAAATTATCATCAACAAAGCCAAGAATCCTATGTGTTTAGGTTCCTAGATCTTATTTGCAATATAACTGACCACACATAAGAACAACAATAAAAAAATGTCTACCTCTGATTTAAAAAGATTGAATTACCAAAGGACTTTTCTGTTTCTTGTTTGTGAGCTACGTTTATTCAAAGATGGAGCTTGCTGTGAATATCTTAAAATCTCAGATTATTTGATAAATATTAGTTGGCACTCCTGAATATTCTCATTCCTTTTTAAAAAGTACACTTAAAACCAGAGAGAAGTTTCTTGCTAAGAAAAGTGAATGGATTTATCACAGGCCCACCAAACCAATTTTCCTACTGTTTTGCTTTCTCTATCTTAGTTCCTTAGAGGAAATATATATTCTTAAGTTTCCAAAGTTATAACCTTATCTCTTCATGGAGGTGGTCAGTGCTGAGCCAGGCCTACAGGAGAGGTGCATTTGCACTGAATCTTGCTTCCCTTGGGATGAGTTTGCGGCCCTCTGGCATGGCCTGTTTTCCCCTCTGCTTCTGATCACTCCAGAGGTTCCACCCAAATGGACCAGGGAAAGTTACTGCTGCCCATCCCTCTGGTGGAGGGATGCCACCAGAGGGATGGGCATGATGCCCCATGAGGCTCAAACACTGGAGTGTGGTCAGAGGGATCTGGGCATCAGGAAAGGGCCAAGGCCCCAGGTAAGGACAGAAAATCTCCTTTCTTTTCTCTAATTTATGATTGGATTAGTTTGTCTTTTGCTTTAGAAGATTTATCGTTTTACCTTCTTATTAACTTATTTTGGTAGAATTAGGAAGGTTATGTGTATATGAGTGTGTGTGTGTATATATATATATATATATATATATATATGCTCTTCTCAAAGACATGTCTTATTTTATAGGCAAACTCAGACCGTCCTAGTGAACCCAGTTAGGAGGAGGTCTTCTTCGAGGATGTCTCTGGTAAGAAAGAAGGAAAAATACAATTGGTCTTTTTCTTTTAGTTATGTCATCTTCCTTAATAAAATATGCTTTGAGCACTGTTAATTTTTAGTTTGAACCACAAAAGTGTGCTGATACTTGACCAAAGAAATGGTGATTTTCCATAGCTTAAGCCTAATATTTATATAATATATATAATATTTATTATATTATACATATTTAAATATTAGGTCCAACCTCATATTAAAATTTTTGTGAAAATGACTCTACTACCCAAAGCAATCTACAGATTCAATGCAAT